CCTACTTTACCTCAAACTAAATGACTGCTTACATTAATGCCAATGCTTACCTATCAGCTGGTGATTAAGTGATCAAGCAGATCAGGGCTGATAAGCTTACCTGGCCAATAGCAATGATCAAAATGAGTTTTCAAAACTGTCTATATGATTTAGAAACACAAATTAAGTTTGTTCCTGGGTTCTTTTAAATACAATCACTGAAGAGCAGTTCTATGAGTAACTTTTCGATTAAATGCTAGAAGCAACTTCACTCTGCAAAAATATGTTATTGTGAATCCTTTAAAGAATCTCATTTGCTTGCCCATGAATTGCAGCACTAAAGGAAAATAAAAGCTTCTGTTTGTCAAGGTCAGGAAGACAGTCTTGAAGACATGCTTAGAGGATATTCTGCATATGCAAAATCTCCATGGCAAACAGAAAGTATCCCAAAGGTATTGTCTTGAAACCTTGCTATCTTTAAGGAAGTGTTAATTCTTCTGGATCCAACTAATTAAATGCCCAAAGTACTCCTATGGTCACTATGACTTTTTCCTAATGGGTCAAGGAAACCCTTAGGTGAATATCAGATTCTATTTTTAATTATATTTGAATTTATATATATATTTTATATATATTTGAATTTATATATATATTTGCTTTAGATGTTTGCAGTATGGATCACTACTCTTCTTCTTCTCAATGAAGCCAAAGGTAAGACACATGGTTCATAAAGTCTATAAGCAGTAAAAATTGTTGTGTGCAGTTTACAGCAAAATATCTATGTTTTTGAATGAGGATGTGCTTTGGAACAGATTTAATGTACTACTTCATTAGGTGCACTGAATTCTGTCATGTCTTTCCCATGTTTAGCCTATTGCTTTTTAATTCTGTAGAGGTTTTTACAGCTAGCAAACTGAATGGAATTTAGAAAGGTATATTCATATATGAATTGATACCAAAATTCTTCTAGAACAGTTTCCTCTACCCACCCTCAACACAAACCAGCATTTATGGTAACCACAACAACTGTAATGCTAGCCAAGGCACTATGCAGAGGACAAGAAAATAGTCCTGGTACAATAGTCCTCTTTGCAAATATGAAAGTACAGTTCAATGGGGACAGACACACAGAAAGAGCAGAGAGAAACAAAAAGACAAGAGTCCAAAAGTTTGTTAGCATCAGAGGAAAGACCCCTAGGAAAATGACTTGGTCACTTGTGGAGTCTCTCACTGTAGCTCCACAATTAAATCTTCTCTTTCTCTAGATGTATTTCCAATCTACCCTTGTGTTTGATAGAGAGTAATGAATAGAGTAAGTCACAGTCTGACGTAGTATGAATTTCTCACCTATTCGAGGTAACAATAGCTCCTCATTGTTTTCAGTATCTTAAGAACAATGAAAACTATTTTGGATTTCACAACTGAGGTATTTTAATGGTGGGTAAGGATGACATTTAATGGCAACACCTGTATGTCATATTTGTATCATTACCGTATTAAAGTCACAACAGGAATTGGGAAACTCTAGTCCTCCAGACACAGACCACGTGTCCTGAGGCTGTGCTTTATGCTTCCACTCAAATTCCACTTTATTGCTTCCACTAAAGTCTTATGGTGAGAAAAGTATAAGCGAGATGTTTTATATACATTGTGAAGCAACCAGAGGTATTTATCTTAGGTTTCGTTTTACTCCTTCACAAATCGTCGTGTAAGAAGTAACGATTTAGATAATTCCTGGAGAATTAGAACTAATTTGAACTACTACTCTGTGCTGGCAGCAAAAGCTGGTTTGTTCTCTGGATCCATAAAAGATCAAGATTGTATCTTCTTTTTCTGATGGTTGTGTTAACCATATGTTTGGCCAAACACATCCTGCATCTCCTGAGTTCATCAGTCTGAGCTCTACACTATGCAACAGGAATTAGTGTTGAAGTTCAAGTCCCTGCTACATGCACAAAGCACAAGAGCACAAATGAGTCCCTTAATGAAAACCTGAGCACAAGTGCCATCCTAATTTGAATCAGTCACTTTCTGCTTCCCTGGTATAAACACTATCCTGCCAGCTTCTTGTAAAGTAGTGGCAGCCAAACCCTCTGCTTTCCCAGAACACTGACAGTTCTCTTTGTGTACCCCAGGAAGACAGGTTTGCTACAGAAGACTCGGATGCTTTACAGATAAGCCCCCTTGGTCTGGGATCCCAGGGAGAGAGCTAGCAGGCTTGCCCAGCTCTCCAGAATACGTGAACACCAATTTCCTTCTTTACACTAGAGACAACACCATGAAATATCAAGTAAGAAACTGCTCTGTTCTTAAATACTGATAGCATACAACATTCAACAAATTAAACAGTTTCTTTTCTCCCATATTTTTCCTTATAAACCTCCCAGGAGAAGCCCCAATTCTCTATTACACATAAAGAACCCACCATAATTTTCTTCATTCAGGTCTCTGATGAGCCAGGTATACTTACAACATATTAATCATATCCTTCTAACACAACTCATCTTCTCTACAGTAAGCTAATAACCCAAATTCAATTTCAGGTTTAGCGTTATAAAGCCAGAGGTAGGGAAGACAGTACAAAATGAAAGCCCAACTTTGGCTCCATATTCAAAACATATTTCGAGCCCATACACATGACTCAGGGAAGTGGTTCATACATATGATCACTAGCTCCTCTGAACTACATATGATTGGTTTCAGAGGCTCTTCTTATGTGGTTGCCAACACTGAGCCCTAAGAGCAGATAGAAGTTAAGAGTGAAAATCAGAAGAGAAAGCACCCATGTTCACCAGGGAGTGGAAGGAACATAGGATTAAAATATTAAAGGGAAGCACAGAAAAGAAAACAGAAGACTACAGAAAATGGAAGGAGAGGATGAAATCATATGTGGAAAAAGAAACAAACAACCAAAAAGAGAATGAAATGGGGATATATAAAGAATATAAACAAACATTAAATGTTTTTTTGAAGACTGGGGCTGAGGGAACAAATAGAGACTAATAAGCTAAAGAAAATGACTTGTTAAGTTGTATCATGGAGAGAGCTTGGAGGTTTCTTTTCCAGAGAGCTGAACCATGTTATCCCTCATGAAGGCACATCAGGTAGAGAAGCATAGCGAGCTGTATGGAAGAAAAAAAGTTAAAATGTGAGGTTATCTACAACAACTCTAAACTAGTTGCAGCGAGAGAAAACTCTAGGCTGTGACAGACAAATGGAAATAGCCAAGGAGCCTGCAGGACTGTTTAAGATGGATCAAATGGAAACATACTGGGAGACACTGGCAATGTGTCATCCCTTTCCTTTGAAGAGTAGCTGTAGGGAAAGCTCACAGCAGGATGCTCAAGGTGTTGGATGCGCCTGAGCTGGCTTTGTCCATAACATGAAGCAGTTTTGTGGAGCTATGGACTAGTCTGGTGAAAAAAGAGAAATGACCATCAGAGAGTGTGAATGTTACTTGGATGAAGAGCAAGAAAAATAAAGCAAATTGAGGGTGGGGGGTGGGAAATTTGTTGCTGCTGTTTACTTACATTACATGAAAAAGTAGTTTGATTCTTTACATATAAATGGCAGTCACAAACAGCAGAGGTGTTTAATGATTTCTCCTGTTGAGTCACTTCAGAACAAGTCCAGCTGAGAGGGCCTATGAGGTTTTCACTTTAATCGGTCCTTCACTGAAGGTGAGATATGTGCTAATTAGTGTACTTCTAAGCTTACAAAATCATAACAAAAAATAAGAGACAAGTTTTAAAACAACGTGGTACTGAGAATTTCTTGGGAAAAAAGAATATCTACCTTCCCAATAACCCCCAAATACCTGCAGCTTCTGGTGTTGTGAGCCTGGTGGGCTTTCTCATACAACATAAAGAAGCTTAGCGATGAAGAAAAATAGGTATAGAGTCAAAGTCAACCACATACTACCTTGAGCATTGCATACCAGTATCATTAGTTCAAAGTGAGTAATTTGTTGAAGTGATTAATTTCTATGCCCCAGCAAGGCAGTATACACATGAGAAACAAGACACATCTCTACAGAGCCCAGAACTATGGCTTAGCCATGGGGTACTCAGCCATGTATCAAAACGTACTGTGGGATGGAGCAATCACATCCTTGTTGTGTTGTTTGTTGGTTATCTTTTTTACACAGAAAATCTCAGCTACAAGTCCTTCAACTATCAAAGCTTCCAATTTCAGAACACACAGGAAAACTCGCTTCCTTATACATGGCCATCTTGCTGGAGCAGACCTCCCCTGGATATCGAAAATGTGCAGGGTATGGTGTCACTATTTTCTGACAGTCATTTCACTTGTATTTGAAAGTGAGGATGCCCACATCACCCCATCAACTGGCTTAAAATCCCCACATAACATTTACACCTCTGCTTCTCTTGTTAACTTGGGGAATATATGAGGGGAAAACCCCTCAGAATGAAGCTCACTTCTACATGACTGCCCTCTTGTTCCTAGCTATGAGTATAGCACTCTTCAGCCTTCTGCTAAATGCCCTTTCGCTGCATTCAGCTCCACAGGGAAAGCTATAATTAATTGATTTTTCAATTCCTTGCCTTTAATAAAGGGGGAAAAAAAAGTCACTTTTCTCACCTCTGCAGAAGGTAAAAATAAACATTTCAGTTTGAGTGAGGCATTTGATCTAATAAAACCAAAATGCTTTTCAGCAGAATGGCTTCATTTTATTTATGCCCGTCTCAAAAATTAAATTGTTTCAGAATGAAAAATCAGAATGTTCCATTCCCAGAAGTGTATAAGCAGAATATTTTGGTTATAATAGATGAACTTGGGGGCTGAGCAATTCAAACACAAGCCCGCAAATTTGTGAATCCTTTTAGATGGTCCAGACGTACAAATTTTGATAGATAAAGCTTGGACAATAAAAAAGAAGTAATACTGTCCTCTTTTTCTAACTGGGGTATTGTCGTTAGGAGAAGTTGATACTCTAAAGCAGGCCAAGGCATCTAGAATGAAAACAGGACTGAAGCAAGCTTCTGTGTGTCTTTATACAGTGTTCAAATTACTGCCTCCACTCTGCCTCCATGTGTTAATTCTTAGTATTGTATCAACTAATACACCAAAGATGTGGCTTTACCAGTCACAGAAACAGAGCCTCACATATAGCAAAAAACCAAAAAAGGATACATTTTGCATATACCCTGCTACAATTCCTATCTCTTTGCTTCAGTTCTACTGTTTTCATGTTTTCTACCAGTTCATGTTCCACACTGAAGATGTGAACTGCATTTTGACCGACTGGAGAGGTGGCTCCAATGGTTTGTACACCGAAGCAGTCAACAACGTCCGCATTGTGGGGGCTGAGCTGGTATATCTGGTGAACCTTCTTGAGGTACAAGTATCATGGAACGTGAAAGCCAGGGCATAGTCTGTATGGTGAAGGCTGTGTTCAGGGTGGCATCTTTAGGTTTGATGCAATAGAGGCGGAAGTACAGAGGTACTCAAGAACACAGCTAAAAATGTCATAAAATCTCTAATCCTGTACAAATGGGAATACCTAGTTTAGTGTCACATCACAGATAATTCCCTAAAGGCTTATAGGCCATCGTTCCTGAAAGTTTCATTTATGATGGGATTTATACTGGATAAGACATCAAATTATAGACTGCCTAGCAAAACTGGCAAGGTGAAGAGTGGTAACAGAAGCCCAGTACAGTTAAAACATCATTCTGTGGGTCACACACACTGCCTCCTGCAAGAACTGAACTGCAGCACAGAGATGGGACTCTCCTGCAGCCAGCCATATCAGGCTTCCCATCCAGAAGCTATCTGAGCCTGGCACACCAGCAGCATTCCCAGCATGGTACTCCCTGTCCAGCAGGTCCTGCATGGTGGGGCATTTCCATAGCAGGATGGCCATTTGATTCATGCAGAGGATATGCTACAAACAACCACAGACAAAGGCACTGAAAACTACTCCTCCACAGACCCCTACCCTGATGGGACTGACAGCCTCAGGGGTGAGGCAGTGGGTCATTCACCTTTTGGATAAGCAATCAGTGCAAATATAGGGGAGCTATTGCAGAAGTTCCCTTTTCCTTCTTTTCTGTTGTAAAGGTCAGTTCCTTACAAAGATTACTCCCATTCAGAGGCGTGATACAAGAGCAGAGGGATGAGTTGGGAACTGCTTCTTTTTAGATACAGATCCTACCACTGGGAACAGTAACTTCCCATCCAAGACACTCTGCTCCATCGCCCACTGGTCTGGCCATGTCCTGGCACGGCATGGGGCCACAATGCAGTGCTACCAGCTTATATCCCCGGCTTAACATGTTTGGTTTTTCCTTTCCATACATCTTCACAGAAGGACTATGGCTACTCTCCTGACAACATTCATTTCATCGGCCATAGCCTTGGAGCACATGCTGCAGGGGAGGCAGGGAGAAGGAAACCGGGCATTGGAAGAATAACAGGTACAGAACCTACTTCAGCTGGTGAAGCTTTATGTTTTTCACGCACCTGAAGAGTCACTGCTGCTTTATAAACACACGATACAGACTACAATGTTCTCGTTTGTCATAATTAACACAAGTGAAGACATGTCCTATCACATGCCATGCATTTCACATGTCAACATTCACAGGTCAGAGAAAGGCTTGACTGCAACAGATCAGAAAGGCTTAACTGTCCTGACTAGCTAAACACAGGTCAATTTTCACAGGTTACAAGTTCTAGGAAGAACTTGGTTACGATTTTTAATGACACAAAAGAACAGGAACAGAATACTGTATTACACATGGAATAATAGACTTGTAAGACACTAGCAACTCATTGGCATGTTTGGTTTTAAAAGCCCACTCTAATAGGCTTTTTAGCTGTTCAAAAGATTGAAAATCTGAAAGAAAACATTAAAAAGCCTGGATCTAGTATGTCAGGATAAGACAGTAAATAGCCATGGACACCCTGAAAAGGAAGAAAGCTGTTAGTCACATAGCTACACAGAGAGACAGAGCAGCATGACACAGACATCACTGTTTTTAAAGGTTCACTATTTTCTGCTTTCCTTTCTCCTCCACTCACTTCTTTTTTCTGCAGACATTGCTTTGCCTAAGCTGTGCACACAGCAAGCAGTCACACAAGCAGTTCAGGGTAACAGGGATCAGAACTGTGTTGCTTTAGCCCTGAAGAGAGCTCACTGACACTGAAGTGAAGGGGAAACATTTTCAACCAACCTCTTTTGGAAATAAAAAAATAGATTTTTGACCAGTTAAAAGTTCTCAAACAAATCTGCACACTCAGAGTAACATAAAAAGATTTCATAGTTTTTGCTAACAGGCAAAAAAACCCCAAACCTTTCCTTATAACACTGTTCCCCAAAAGCAAGTCAAGCGCCCATCAGAATTTTACTGTGCTGCAATACATCCAGCAACCTTTCTATTAAAACCCTGCTCATTTGCTGGCTGTGGACCACAAAATGGATTTTTATACATGGAGTAAAAGAAGAAATGTAATGACATACAATGTATATACACTGTATGGGATGACATACATATAGATTTATTTACTCAATCAGATTTATCTCCATCCACTTAGGTTTGGATCCAGCCGGGCCCCTTTTCCAGTATACTCCAACAACGGTTAGGCTGGATCCTTCAGATGCAAAATTTGTTGATATAATTCATACTCACGCTGGTCATCTTTTCTTTGACTTTGGTAAGTGTTCATGCAAAAGCTGGCATCAACACAGAGCTTGACCACAGCCTGCCTGAGAGTGAGCAGCCTTGATTCCTTGTGCATTTGCCTGTCCCGCACAACATCCTTCTCTCTAAATT